GGGGGGGGGGGGGCTGGGGAGATATACACACATTTCTTGCACAGCACAGAAATTTACATGTGGATATGAAGAGTAAAGCTAACTAAAAATTTTAGTTTGTGTTCAAATGCATCAGCTGCATATGCCTGCTTCATGTACACTCGGTGTACATTGCTGGCATATGTTTTTTTTAAATACCTCTGCAAAGGTGGAAATGGGTTTTCAGTTCAGGAAATAAGTGAAATCTCCCCAGAGTGACAAAGACAGCAAAAAAAATATTAAATTAACTATTCCCTTCCTATGGATGAAGACAAACTTTAAAGGAGAACTATGGGGTAAGTGTGTTTCCCCATAGTTCTCCTCAGGCTCACGGGAGGACACAAACTAGCGTCCTCCCGTGACCCAAAGCTCAGTATACCGCAAGCTACAGCTCGCGGTATACTGAGACGCCGCAGCTGGGACGGAACCCAACATTACTGTCGAGATACACCCAGCTGCGTGATTGACAGCTGGCTCTCGACCGTCTGTTCCGTCAGTCAGCGCTAGAGGATTGGAGCGTGGAGGGAGAATCCCTGCAGGGAGCCGTTAATGACGGTCACGGCTCTCTGCAGGGGCATGATCGAGAAGATCACTTCCCGATCTATTGAGCCGACGTGTGACAGTTTCATTGTCATACGTCGGCTCGAACTATGAGGTTGAGTGAAAATCACTCACCTCATAGTTCTCCTTTAACCTAAATAATATCATCAGTGCCTGTGTGTAGTTTGTATTTATATATAGCAGAAGACAAGAATCACCGACACTCGGTAAACTAAACTATTTACCGAGTGCTGGTGATTCTTGTCTTCTGCCATTTGATGTGCACGGCGCCATCTGTGATTATCATTGCATGCACCGCCATCTATGATGCAGATGGACTTTCTGTTTTTCTGTATTTATATATAAACATGGGGTCAACCATATTTGCTCATAATATATGTGGAATGTTTAGTAATACTGCACAATGCTGACTATCTTGTTCACTCTGGGTGAAAGTCGGCTCAGACTGACTGAAAACAATACACTTTCTTTGAGGCTTATTGATTTTATCTCAGTTGCTCAGCAAGGGTGGTAACTGCAATGTTTAATATACAGATAGCAAATAAAGGGCAGACCTACACATCTGCATATGAAATACATGTATTCAATACAGAACATCAGTTATATACAAAATGTGAACAGTACAAAACATTTTCAGTTATACATTAAAATAATAACTACTACTGCATACTCGTAGTCATAATAAAGTTTGCATTTAATATGTAATTTAACACAAAAGTTTCTCATTTGAGTTTTAAATAAAGTGGGGAAGGTTTAGAACTTTTGTCTTATTTTATGTTAATGTCTGTAACTCCCCTCACTCCCGTCACTTCCTGTCCTGGTGACCACGTGTGAGAGATTCTCTCTAGAGGGACATATACCGCAAAAAAGACAGAGTTTCTAATGTATCCCCAAACTACTACAAATGGGATTCTATAGTAAGGTCATAGTTAAAGATTTTTAATTGCTGATAATTCAAGCTGCACTACCTGTAAAACACTTTGTGTCCTCTCCTTATGGTCCGCTAACAATCTATTTTGAGTAAAGGGTGCTACTGAAATTATTTACCAAGTAATATTAAAGGTGCAGTGAGTGTTGTAAATGCCTAGCTTCAGTTTTAGAACTGCAGGGTTAAGTATTTAGAAATAATGGAGATTCATTCATAATATTCAATAATAATAATAATATCCCACATCAGGTTCATAAATAGTGAAACTGAAACTTGTTCTGTCAGTCTCAGCTGGTGTTGTGGTAACGGGTGTTGTTGTTGTAGGGGCTGTTGTAGTAGTTGGTGTTTCTGTAGTAATCTCGGTTGTTGAGGGAATAGTGGTAGTGACAGGTGTTGTAGGGACTGTTGTAGTAGTCATTGTTGTAGGGACTGTTGAGTAGTTGGTGTTTCTGTAGTAATCTCGGTTGTTGAGGGAATAGTGGTAGTGACAGGTGTTGTAGGGACTGTTGTAGTAGTCATTGTTGTAGGGACTGTTGAGTAGTTGGTGTTTCTGTAGTAATCTCGGTTGTTGAGGGAATAGTGGTAGTGACAGGTGTTGTAGGGACTGTTGTAGTAGTCATTGTTGTAGGGACTGTTGAGTAGTTGGTGTTTCTGTAGTAATCTCGGTTGTTGAGGGAATAGTGGTAGTGACAGGTGTTGTAGGGACTGTTGTAGTAGTCATTGTTGTAGGGACTGTTGAGTAGTTGGTGTTTCTGTAGTAATCTCGGTTGTTGAGGGAATAGTGGTAGTGACAGGTGTTGTAGGGACTGTTGTAGTAGTCATTGTTGTAGGGACTGTTGAGTAGTTGGTGTTTCTGTAGTAATCTCGGTTGTTGAGGGAATAGTGGTAGTGACAGGTGTTGTAGGGACTGTTGTAGTAGTCATTGTTGTAGGGACTGTTGAGTAGTTGGTGTTTCTGTAGTAATCTCGGTTGTTGAGGGAATAGTGGTAGTGACAGGTGTTGTAGGGACTGTTGTAGTAGTCATTGTTGTAGGGACTGTTGAGTAGTTGGTGTTTCTGTAGTAATCTCGGTTGTTGAGGGAATAGTGGTAGTGACAGGTGTTGTAGGGACTGTTGTAGTAGTCATTGTTGTAGGGACTGTTGAGTAGTTGGTGTTTCTGTAGTAATCTCGGTTGTTGAGGGAATAGTGGTAGTGACAGGTGTTGTAGGGACTGTTGTAGTAGTCATTGTTGTAGGGACTGTTGAGTAGTTGGTGTTTCTGTAGTAATCTCGGTTGTTGAGGGAATAGTGGTAGTGACAGGTGTTGTAGGGACTGTTGTAGTAGTCATTGTTGTAGGGACTGTTGAGTAGTTGGTGTTTCTGTAGTAATCTCGGTTGTTGAGGGAATAGTGGTAGTGACAGGTGTTGTAGGGACTGTTGTAGTAGTCATTGTTGTAGGGACTGTTGAGTAGTTGGTGTTTCTGTAGTAATCTCGGTTGTTGAGGGAATAGTGGTAGTGACA